CGATTGTGATGTTACACCTTGTGAAGGTTGTGGTGTTACATCTTGTGATGAGTGTGGGTTTACATCTTGCAATGGTTGTGGGGCTGCGTCTTGTGATGGTTGTGGGGTTACATCTTGCGATGGTTGTGGGGTTACATCTTGTGATGGTTGTGGGGTTACATCTTGCAATGGTTGTGGGATTACGTCTTGCAATGGTTGTGGGGTTACGTCTTGTGATGGTGGTGGGGTTACATCCTGCAGTGGATCTGATGGAACACCTTGTAATGGCTGTGGTTGTATTATAATCTGTTCTGTATTGCTTTTAAGTTCATCTGATCTGTTTTGCTTTGGGATTAAACTGACCATCTGTTGAGAAGGAAGAATTTGCCCTGACTGTAGGTTAACACCTTGTACTGATTGCATGACTTCCAAGTTTGTATCAACTTCAACATTTGTAGGTCTATCACTGCAATCTTGCTTCATATCCTGGTTAAGATCCATAGTCTGCTGTGAGTGAGCATCCTCAACCAAAATCAATGGTTGCAAAGGCACATCTTGTACTGCCTGTGCTACATTCTGTTTCTGATCATTTGTTTCATTATCTGCTGTCATTGGTTCATCACCACCTCCTATAAAAAGAATGGAATTAATTTTACAAAGCAATAACAACAAATCACTATATGTAAGTTTTATATTGCGGTCAAAGACAAGCAACCAACATGATGTTCTCACTATTTTGTATGAGCTAGGCATACATGAAATTCATGTCACTTAATTTTATATCACCAAAGTTGCCTTACATATATATCAACCCATCCACAAACAGTGGCAACAACATAGTACACACATTTCTATCAAATATACTGCGCCAAATGCAGCTATTTCTTGCAGAAGAATATATCATATGAATCCTCATGTTACCCATTACCATACCATTTTTCTTAGCTAAAATAGTATCATTCTAACACATGTTCTGTTTCACATATTTGCAAAGTGGGACTGCAACTTTGCAACTTTAAAACTGATAAGGCCAGCTGTAACTGACATATCTTGATAACATACATGATACAATATTATAAACCGTTTAATTTTCACTGCTAGGAATTTTCGCCAATTTAGTATTTTATGGTATTCATAAAGAAACGTTTTCATGAAAGTCACTGACGTTGTGTGTCAAAATTTCATGATATTCACGAGTCAGGAAATTCATGAAAATAAATCAGTTTGCAGTAGTATACGAAACTTAACTACCTAAAAATTCAATACTATAAAAATTGAATCTTAAGTTCTATCCTCATTTTCTATGATGTCCATAATTTAGTGAATTTTTTACACAGCAGTGCACTCAAATTTGTAGCATGGGGTGTCAATAAGAACAAATTTAATAATTTGAAATTACCCTTTCAAATCTTATATATGGTATATACCTAATTACAAACTTACATTCAATGTTTAATTTGATTTAATTTTACACATAAAATTACACTGTAGTATTGTACACCAATTTAACTCGCCAGGAGAGTCATTTGTGAGGATTTGTGTGTAAAATGAAAAATACAGTAGCCTATTATGTTCTTTTGGCAGAGACTTTAAGGAAATTATTTTTTTGTAAACAATCTCAAGTTGTTCAACTTGCTGATATAACAGTTAGTAATTGTAGACAATGGAGTCAACAAACCCATGATTAATCCGACAAATCTGTGATGTCACTGCATGTGATTGCTGTTTAAGTTACTAAGTACTAAGTTTATAAGTAGTTTATAACATACATGGGTTTGTTGACTCAAGTGTAGTACTCAAATCATAGGAATAAATGACAACATACTTCTAAAAAAGACACTATTACACGGTACAGTTATTGGTACTAGGAAATAGAGGGTCATATCATCGTAAATATGTGAGGAAAAAAAAATAAGTGACTCATACCAAAGGACTTTTTTATCCCACCACCTTGGTAACCTTAGATGTAATGATTGATTAATTCATTGTATTCAAAAAGATGTCAAGCACTCAATACTTGGTACATGAATCGTGTATGATGATTTCTTAAACATACAGAACACTGGACATACTTATTCACCTAGACCATGAATAAACTATTATTTTTAGAGAATGCTGAATTGTTGGAAGAAAAATTAAAACCATGTTTTTGAGTGGTTGATGTATTGTAGAATAAATGATGATACGTAATATTTAGGTTGTCCTGGCAGGCAAGGCTATAACATTAATCATATCTATCTTTTTGTCTCACAATTATTATAAAACAAAATTATGTATGATTATGAATGGCACTTTCTGGGGGTATTAAAGTTCTATATAACAGTAATAATTTCAAATATTATATGGAATAGTTTTTAGAAAAATTGTTGAGATATTCTCAATGATAGTGAATTTGTACCATTACAAAGTACTGTGAAATACTTTATTACCGCATGGATTTTTGTGTGTGGATGGTCCTTTGTTGTGACCATCTATTTAAATAGTCATAATATTGAGCTTCACTGGAAGTTTCATGGGTGGTAGATCAGATGCAAAACCAACAACAAAACACTCAAACACAATCCTTACATAAAATTGGAATATTAGTAATAAATATTTAAATGATTCCATGACGCTTGGACACTCCACTGTGATGCTTTCCCTCTTTTCTATGACACTTATAATTTGTGATGCTATAATGACACAAATTTAAAACAATAAAATACATTGATCGAATGGTAATCCACCTTTGTTAGCAATACAAAGACAGTTGTTAATTGGAAGTCCTTCAGGGGTGTGATGTCTCAAAAACCGTTCAGCATGTGACAAGTCTCACAACTCACATTCACTTACAAAAATGATAGAAGTGTGTCTAATGTCCAAAAAAATATTTCTGGTCCTGAGATGTTCAAAAAAATTGTGCAGTGAAGTGCTTTTTGTTTGTTAATTTTAATTTTTGTTGCCATCTTTTTATTCATTTTTACAACATCTTGGCAGAAACCTGTAAAAACACATGCACTGACCCATAAGCAAAACTTTTGTTTGGCCCCTCATTTGTACTGTTATTGGTATGCATTGAAATGCATCAGCGTAAAATGAATTAATTTTTGGTTTATGTGTACTATTAACAGACCATACAAATGTAGTTTGACTATACGTACGTCTGTAAATCACATACAGTAAGTAACATGACTCACCATGAACTTTTAATACTTCCTGATCTATCCTTGATTTTTTAAGTAGATTTTCACCACATTTGGAACAAGAGCATCCATCTGCCAAACTATCCACTGGACTATGACAGTGACTACACAGTGTACTGTCATCCATGATTTCTACCAATCAAATTGTCTAAGTAGTCTAGCATCTGTAATAAATAAATTTAACAATCAACATTGCTACATGTATGCACTTGGTTTTTATTATCATCAATATTATAGTTTCAACATTCAGAATAAAACTAGTTTAGGTTCAAAAATGATACAGAATGATAGGCAATAATTTTATATGTTGTGGTTAATACTACCAGTATAAAGTTTGTTTGTTTTTCAGCCAATTACGAACTTGTTGGCAAACAGGGAAGAGATAGAATTATAAAAATAACATAGTTTTTTTCAAGTTTATGTAGTCAAATATGATATGCTAATGTAAAATATACTTTTATTATCCTGATGTTCAATTAACCTCTGTGGGTGACACATTTTTAAATGATGATCGTTTTCATAGTTTGTCATTAGATGATTATTTTTTTAAATGAAATAATGCTTTAACAAGAATTACTATGGAAATAAGTTTTTTTGGCATGTTTTCATGCAGTTTTTCTCAGACATCACGAAAGTCGGTGACTCATGTCAAAATAATTATGCAACACTTTTAAAACAAAAAAAACATCATAATTTGTTAGATCAGATTTTCAGCGGGG